CACAGCTCTTTAAATGTACATACTCTAGTCCAAAATGATTACTTTTAACTCTGGGACTTCACTTTATCAGTAAAATCATACCAGCAGTGTTCAAGACAGATTCAATGTAGACTACATATTCATTTCTAACAGTTAACATGATTGAAATTGTAACTTTTATTTAAACTCTACAACATTTTTAGTGTTATAGATCTAAAGTTTAATTGTGTTGATATAATATGAAAAGAAAATGTAATGAATATAATGAATTTTTAAAAAGCAGGACAACAAACTAATGGTAAAGATATTAGAATAAATTAGAAACATGGATTTGTTTGAACTTTAAAAATTGAAGAAGTAAAAAACACATTTGAACATGAGACTACATTTTAGAAATGAAAATTATGTAAACACAGTGTGCCTACCTCAGGAGAGACATCACAATCTCCAAAGACATCAGAGAAGTCAGTGGGGCTTTTCCTCAGTGTCTGATCTGCAGGCAGTGTGTTGTCATTGTAGGACGAGACAAACTTAAAGTCACTTGTCCTGGATCCAGTTGTCATGTATCCATCATAGTTGTAAGTGCTGCGTAAAGTTCCTGTGCCGTCAACATCTGCATAATTAGGAGGCAGATAACCACTGGGGATTGCAACTGCTCCATCAAACAACAGTCTGGGCTTCCTCCTGCGACAGAACCTCACACCCAGGACAATAATAATGAAGGTGAGGAAAAATGTGGACACTGACACCAGTGCAATGATCAGATAGGATGTCAGCTTTGAGTCCCTCTCATCATAAGAAATGTCCTTGAGTTCAGGCACTTCAGCCAAGTTATCAGAGATCAGTAAATACATGGAGCAGGTGGCAGAGAGAGGAGGCTGTCCGTTATCCTTCACTGCCACAATAAGGTTCTGTTTCATGCTGTCAGACTCAGAGATGTCCCGCTGGCTCCTGATCTCTCCACTGTGGAGACCAATAGTAAAAAGTCCAGGATCAGTGGATTTGACGATGTGATAGGACAGCCAGGCGTTCTGTCCAGAGTCTGCGTCCACTGCTATCACTTTGGACACCAGAGAGCCTGCATGTGCAGCTTTAGGGACCAGTTCAGTCATGAAGGAGTTCCCCTCCGGGGTGGGGTACAGTATTTGAGGAGAGTTGTCGTTCACATCAGATATAAACACAGTGACTGTCACGTTGCTGCTGAGTGGAGGAGAGCCATTGTCTCTGGCCATCACATGGACTTTAAAAACTCCTGAAGTGTTCATAATCAAAAGCCCTCACAGCATGGATCACCCCTGTGTCTCCATTAACAGAGACATAGGAGGACACTGGGGCCCCATTCACCTCACCAGGTAACAGAGAATAAACCACTGTCCCGTTTTGTCTCCAGTCTGGGTCTCGAGCAGCAACAGAACATAAAGTGGAGCCAGGTTTGTTGTTTTCAGTCACATGTGCGCTGTAGGACTGCTCCTCAAACACAGGAGGGTTGTCATTGATGTCAGCTACAGTTAAGTGGACAGTTTTAGAGGAGGACAGAGGGGGAGAGCCCTCGTCAGTGGCACTGATTGTAATGTTGTAATCAGACACTAGCTCACGGTCCAGCTGTTCTGTGGTCACTAGAGAATAATAGTTTTTAATGGAAGGTACTAACTTGAAAGGGACCCCAGTCTGAAGGGAGCAGCGGACCTGTCTGTTGTTCTCTGAGTCTCTGTCCTGTACATTGATGATGCCCACCTCTGTACCAGGAGACACATTCTCAGGGATCTGATTGGACAGTGATTTTAAGCTAATGACAGGAGCATTGTCGTTTACATCAGAAATTTCAATTGTTAATGTAGAATAAGAGACGAGTCCTAATCCATCTTTAGCACTGATTTGAATTTCATAATGAGGTATTTTTTCATGATCAATTTCACCTGATACGACCACTTGTCCTGTTTTTAGATGAATAGAAAATTCATTGTTAGTTTCATCCGTCAAACGGTCAAATTCGTAAACAATATCACCGTTCACTCCCTCATCAGCATCAGTAGCAGTGACTGTAATAACCAGTGTATCTGGAGGAGAGTTTTCTGGAAGACTCGCTTTATACACAGTCTGACTAAACACTGGTGCATTATCATTAGCGTCAAGAACAGTGACATGGATGACTACTGTGCCTGATCTCTGAGGAGAGCCGCCATCAAACGCAGTCAACACAAGTGTGATCTCGTTATTTTCTTCTCTATCTAACTCTTTGTCCAAAACTAACTCACAATATTTTCGTCCTGCAGAGTTTGGTTTAACTATTAGTTGAAAATTGTCATTTTGCTGAAGGGTGTAACCCTGAACTGCATTTTCTCCTATATCTCCGTCATGTGCTTCACCGACAACAAACTTCGTGCCTTTATCAGCTGATTCTCGAATTTCTAATTTGATTGGATCGGCTTTAAATTGTGGTGCGTTGTCGTTTATGTCCTGTACGCGGATATTAAAGCGATGCAGCTCCAAAGGGTTTTCCAGCACGAGCTCCTGTTTCAGAATACATGAAGTCTTCTTCGCACAAAGGCCCTCTCTGTCAATCCTCTCCTGAACAACCAGCTCTCCCGTGTTCAGGTTCACGCTGCAGTACTGGACTCCGTTGTCCTCGGAGTCCACGCGCGCCCTGCGAGCGGACAACCTGCCCAAATCCAGTCCAATATCCTTCGCGATATTTCCGATCACGGATCCACGTTTCATTTCCTCTGGAACAGAATAACTGATGTCTCCATAAGAAAGATGAGTGAAAAAAAGAAAAGGCAAAAACCTCAGAAAACTGCGTTTGTTTGTGGCCATTATTTGGGTATAATCTTGAGCAAAATGTATGCAGCTCATGCAATTCTGAAAAAACATACACTGAAAACGCACAGTATTCTAAAAATGTGCGAATTCTTTACCACGACTGCTAAAGAAGGGAGGGGAATGAACACGCATCACCGTTCACTGGTAAATACTGACACCAAGAGTGTGTTTGAAGAACGACAAGTCTGCGGTCATGTTCTGCCAAGTGCAAAGTGTTTCAGTGATTCAGGGGCTAAAATACCAACAACAAGAGAAGAATTCGAATCTAGGGTTTTATTAATGGTAAATTTAAAAAAGACATGGGCTAGTTTTAACGTTATTGCTGAATTGCATTGGATTTTATTATTTATTTATTTATTTATTTTAGGGTTACTCTTTTTCTTTGGTCATTCTTGCTAAATCACAAAATCGAGTTAGACCAATGACTTAACAAAGAAATATGGATATTTTGTGTAAGACAAACACCAGAATAAACAACTATTCAGTCAAGAATCAAATAGTCTGTTAGTTGTGAGCTTTTTAACAACAAAACAGTGAATAAAAGAGAATATGGTCATCTTTCTGAATCCCAATAAGTTTAAAATTTTAGAAAAAGTATCAGCACCATGGACAGAGAAATATAATATAACAGAGAGAATATTTCCAGACATGATATCAGATCACTTTTTTTTTTTTTAATTATTATTATTATTCTAACATTAGAATCAAAGTTATCCTCAGCTTCTGTCCAGTATTACAGCTACAAGATGAAAAGACTAAATGTAGTCACTGCTCAAGTTTAATTTCACCCCACAAGATGAAATACTGCAGGACTCTGACTATATCACAATCTGTGGAAGTCTTATATAAAACCACTGAACCAAAAAGCAAATAAGTCAATATTTTGCATTTATCCCTTCCAAAATGAATGCAAATAACTGTTTTGTAAGAATTTCATAACAGTCGTCCATTGCAGCACTTATTAGGTGATGTAAAAGACAGAATTTGAGCCAGTGGCTATTAGTACTTTTATATCAACCACCAGAAATACATAATAAAAAAACAGAGACAAAGCTATATATTAGACCTCATTTCTTCACCTTATTAGAAGTTAAAATCATGAAATGTCATTAAAAGTCAGTTTGGGAAATTACAACGAGTGATTAAAAACGCAATAATACAATTGCAGATAGTATCACTATAATAAATGAATGAATACACTTTCATGAGTGCCCAGGGGACACATCAGGGTCCCCAGAGTTTAGGGAATTAAATTACATCCACACACAAGTCAAGATATCTCCACAAAATCACATCTCTGTTCCCTGTTATTTTTGTTAGAAATAAAACTCCTCAAAGTAATCAAACTATACACAAACACAAAAGTCAACGTTCCTCAACACAACTCTTCAACCCTCAGAAAAGAAAAACCACAACCATCACTGAGGACGTGTCTCATTCAGCATTTTTTCTCTTTTTTTAATTTGATGAATGCTACACAATCAACTTAGACTAAGAAGTTAAATCATTGTAAAAACAACACTTTTTAGAACATACATGCTGTGAAGCCTTTGAAACATTGAATTATGTTTAATATACATAGTTTTAAGGCTATTCTTATGACTTATGTTGAAGAAACATAAAGTAAGGAGGTGAAGGCAAAATTACCAGTTCTAGCTACACTCTTCAGGACCATAGACAGAGCAAATGACAATTTCCATTGGGAGACCATGCCACAAGTGAAGGAGTATTAAGTCATAATTTTCCAAGCAAATGCCACATCGTGCAGTAAACTTTACCAAAAGATTCCATGTTTGAAATCAATATATAATCAAATTGAAATTTCTGAATTGTAATCTGAGAATATGAACTACCCACATGGATGCAATCACAAACCAGAAGGTGCATTTTAACCTAAACAAAGGAAAGTGTCAGTGTTGTAGGAGAATGAGTGTATTACCCTAAGCACAGCTACAAGACGCCTTTAATTCACATACAAACAATCTTCACTTGCTTAATAAAAGCTTTAGAGAGACCTCCTCTGCTGAAATATCTAGCCACAATGTGGATACTGTATACAGTCTCATGACAAAGATAAAAGAAAATCTTCTTGGTATAAAAATCATTTGCCAGTGAATTAAAAAGCCTCATTAAAGCCCAGAGGCCTAGATAGAAACATTATAAAATCGCAGCTATAATACATTAAGGTGTATTGATATTGTTTAGGCATAACTGAAATGTGAAAATGTGGAAAAGTAAAGATCACAGAAAAAATATTTTCTCTTTGCCACTTTGTGCCTACCTCAGGAGAGACATCACAATCTCCAAAAACATCAGAGAAGTCAGTGGGGCTTTTCCTCAGTGTCTGATCTGCAGGCAGTGTGTTGTCATTGTAGGACGAGACAAACTTAAAGTCACTTGTCCTGGATCCAGTTGTCATGTATCCATCATAGTTGTAAGTGCTGCGTAAAGTTCCTGTGCCGTCAACATCTGCATAATTAGGAGGCAGATAACCACTGGGGATTGCAACTGCTCCATCAAACAACAGTCTGGGCTTCCTCCTGCGACAGAACCTCACACCCAGGACAATAATAATGAAGGTGAGGAAAAATGTGGACACTGACACCAGTGCAATGATCAGATAGGATGTCAGCTTGGAGTCCCTCTCATCATAAGAAATGTCCTTGAGTTCAGGCACTTCAGCCAAGTTATCAGAGATCAGTAAATACATGGAGCAGGTGGCAGAGAGAGGAGGCTGTCCGTTATCCTTCACTGCCACAATAAGGTTCTGTTTCATGCTGTCAGACTCAGAGATGTCCCGCTGGCTCCTGATCTCTCCACTGTGGAGACCAATAGTAAAAAGTCCAGGATCAGTGGATTTGACGATGTGATAGGACAGCCAGGCGTTCTGTCCAGAGTCTGCGTCCACTGCTATCACTTTGGACACCAGAGAGCCTGCATGTGCAGCTTTAGGGACCAGTTCAGTCATGAAGGAGTTCCCCTCCGGGGTGGGGTACAGTATTTGAGGAGAGTTGTCGTTCACATCAGATATAAACACAGTGACTGTCACGTTGCTGCTGAGTGGAGGAGAGCCATTGTCTCTGGCCATCACATGGACTTTAAAACTCCTGAAGTGTTCATAATCAAAAGCCCTCACAGCATGGATCACCCCTGTGTCTCCATTAACAGAGACATAGGAGGACACTGGGGCCCCATTCACCTCACCAGGTAACAGAGAATAAACCACTGTCCCGTTTTGTCTCCAGTCTGGGTCTCGAGCAGCAACAGAACATAAAGTGGAGCCAGGTTTGTTGTTTTCAGTCACATGTGCGCTGTAGGACTGCTCCTCAAACACAGGAGGGTTGTCATTGATGTCAGCTACAGTTAAGTGGACAGTTTTAGAGGAGGACAGAGGGGGAGAGCCCTCGTCAGTGGCACTGATTGTAATGTTGTAATCAGACACTAGCTCACGGTCCAGCTGTTCTGTGGTCACTAGAGAATAATAGTTTTTGAAAGAATGCACAAGTTTAAAAGGGACATGTTTGTGAATAGAGCAGTGAACTTTACTATTAATACCAGAGTCTCTGTCCTTTACATTGATGATGGCTAACTCATAATCACGAGGGACATTTTCTGGTATCTGACTTGAGAAGGATTTTATATCAATTATTGGTGCATTGTCATTGATGTCAGTAACATCAATTATAACCTTAGCATATGAATTTAATCCTAATCCATCTTTAGCTTCCACCGTCATTTCAAATAAGTTTTTCTCCTCAAAGTCAATTGGGCCATTAACACGAACTTCTCCAGTCTGGGAATGAATAGAAAACGCATCGGACTGAGATCTGTGACCTAAATCATACGTCACATCTCCGTGTATACCCTCATCTGCGTCTGTGGCGCTAACCTTTAACACTACCGTATCCATTGGGGCATTTTCGGGCAGACTGGCTTTATAAACGGTTTGGCTGAACACGGGCGCGTTGTCGTTGGCATCTAATACAGTGATGTGTACAACTACAGTGCCTGATCTCTGAGGAGAACCGCCATCAAAAGCTGTCAGAGTCAAATTCATGTTTTTCTGTTTTTCTCTATCCAGTTTATTTTCCAATAATAACACTATTTGGGTATTATCAGGGGACAGAATGAAGTTATCGTTTTTCTGAAGAATATATCTTTGAACATCATTTTGTCCTATATCTGCATCGTGCGCTTCTTCAAGGGAAAAAAGGCTTCCTTTCTCAGTTGACTCTTGTATTTCAAATTTGGTCAACTTATTAATAAATGCTGGCGAATTATCATTTATATCCTGAACAGTAAGACTCACGCGATGTAGCTCTAAAGGATTTTCCATCATCAGATCAGCTTTTAAAACACAAGACGCTTTTTTGCCACAAAGGGTTTCCCGGTCTATTCTTTCGGATACGGTCAAATCCCCGGTAGCCAGATTGATATCACAGAATTGCTTGTTGGTTCCTTCGAAATCCAAACGAGGTTTTCGCGATGAAATGGTCCTGATGTCCAGCGCGAGGTCTTTCGCAATATTTCCAATCATGGAGTGGAGTCTAATTTCTTCAGGAACGGAGTAACTAAGATCACCGTAAACGACAGTCATAGTAGCACAGAAACAGGCCCAAAAGAGGGATAGTAGAAATCTGTTGTGTTTCATGGTCTCTGAAAAACGCCAGTGTTTCGATTCCCGACAAAGAAGAGCGGTTAAAAGTCCCCTCGATTCAAGAAATCCTAAATATATAAACCTTCAGATGGGAAAGCGGTGCTGGTAAGCTACTAGGCCTATGTGCATTTGATGAGATAACCACGTCATTCATCGGATGAGCTATAACCCTCAAATTTCTGCTGCTGGTCCACAGCGGCACCATGCGTCAAAGTGCACAATTTACAACAACTGCGGTAAATGTCCAGCTTTCTTGAGAACAAAATGACAACGTAAACTAGTATAGGTTATTAATGTTCAATTGAAAGACATTATGAGTTGTCCAAATATATATTGTGAAGTGTATTCAGAAATTAAACTTGTGTTTGTGGTTCTGCTCAGCTGAACAAACAATGCAAAACAGCATATTACAGCCTAATAAAGTCCCATTCAGTCACCTTTGAAACATTGGTCAAAGACAGCACAATGAAATGAAGAGCATATTCATTCATTTAACCAGGGTGAACACATTGTAATCTAGACCCTTTTTTGCAAGAGTGACTAGCATTGACTATAATTTGAGTTAAAATATCAGACAAACTTCATGAGAGTGTTTGTCAGTTGAAATTAAAGGCACTGTGTGTAGGATTTTTATTTTAAATTTCAAAAACATAACCTATCTGTGTCCCCAGTCACAAGATGGACATGTTCAAATCAAATATACCTTTTACAGATAAGAATAAATCAGAATTAAAATAGTTAATTATAAAAACATTGGACATGATGTCCCATTTATTTACGTTGTAATTAGGTGTTTTGATAGTCGAGATGATTATCCAATCAGAAAACAGAATGAGCCTCACATGAGTCTCTCCTTTGGGTTGTCAGGTTACATGCTGAAATCCAGTTGGTTAAAAACCAGAATGACTCAATCTGATATGAATCCTCACGACCTACACCCCAGAACCTGCAGCCAATCATGAATCAGTGCTAGAGCAGCCTCTGCAGCTCAAATAGGGAATTCTGGAGGTTCTGAGCTTTCACATGAGACATGGCCTGTCCATATACTGAGAAATGTGTCCTATGTATGCAGGTTAAAGGCTTCGATTAAAGCGGTAGGAGCCCCAGCTTCACACAGTCTCTTTAAAAAATACTGCTTGTATCTATGCATACTTCTTAGGTTATTTCTACCATTCTTAATACTGGAATACTGTCAAGGTAAATAATGATAACAACAAAACCCTATACTTCTTTGCTAATGTTCAGTTTCTCCGCAGTACAACAGCTAGACCATAGATGTGGCCTTCTAACCCCACTTCTGTGCATACAATATTATTTAAACTATCAAACCTTCACTGTTCCACCTTTCTAAGTAGCCTCCTGGGCCATTTGATTAATTGTCCGTACTTGTCTATAAGCCTAAATGCTGATGTAAGTGAGTTTAAATGCAAATTTGTTTAATTAATCTAACTATTTAGAAAAGTACAAATAATCAAAGTAATTATTTATTTACACTCTTTCAGTACTAGAAAGTAACAAGCTTTAGGTTCAAGAATACAAATTAAATTATAGCAAGTCTTTGGTAACAATCTTCGCTGCAAGTTAAGTACTATTTCGAGACCTGACCATGGTCCTGGATCAAAAAAGTGTACATTAAAAATGCAAAACCTAAATAGTATTTAAAATCCGACAGAAAGGCTAAAAGATGTGATTATGCTATAAAGAATATGCAATAATGATATTGTATGTGCAAAGTAAAGTAAATGAGAAATGTTAAACATAAGGTTCAATATTAAACTTTAAAAACTTGCCACTTCTGACGTTGCCAGGTCCTCAAATGCATCATCAAAGTCAGAGAGTGATTTTCTTATTGTTTCATCTGCAGGCAGTGTGTTGTCATTGTAGGAAGAGACAAACTTAAAGTCACTTGTCCTGGATCCAGTTGTCATGTATCCATCATAGTTGTAAGTGCTGCGTAAAGTTCCTGTGCCGTCAACATCTGCATAATTAGGAGGCAGATAACCACTGGGGATTGCAACTGCTCCATCAAACAACAGTCTGGGCTTCCTCCTGCGACAGAACCTCACACCCAGGACAATAATAATGAAGGTGAGGAAAAATGTGGACACTGACACCAGTGCAATGATCAGATAGGATGTCAGCTTTGAGTCCCTCTCATCATAAGAAATGTCCTTGAGTTCAGGCACTTCAGCCAAGTTATCAGAGATCAGTAAATACATGGAGCAGGTGGCAGAGAGAGGAGGCTGTCCGTTATCCTTCACTGCCACAATAAGGTTCTGTTTCATGCTGTCAGACTCAGAGATGTCCCGCTGGCTCCTGATCTCTCCGCTGTGGAGACCAATAGTAAAAAGTCCAGGATCAGTGGATTTGACGATGTGATAGGACAGCCAGGCGTTCTGTCCAGAGTCTGCGTCCACTGCTATCACTTTGGACACCAGAGAGCCTGCATGTGCAGCTTTAGGGACCAGTTCAGTCATGAAGGAGTTCCCCTCCGGGGTGGGGTACAGTATTTGAGGAGAGTTGTCGTTCACATCAGATATAAACACAGTGACTGTCACGTTGCTGCTGAGTGGAGGAGAGCCATTGTCTCTGGCCATCACATGGACTTTAAAACTCCTGAAGTGTTCATAATCAAAAGCCCTCACAGCATGGATCACCCCTGTGTCTCCATTAACAGAGACATAGGAGGACACTGGGGCCCCATTCACCTCACCAGGTAACAGAGAATAAACCACTGTCCCGTTTTGTCTCCAGTCTGGGTCTCGAGCAGCAACAGAACATAAAGTGGAGCCAGGTTTGTTGTTTTCAGTCACATGTGCGCTGTAGGACTGCTCCTCAAACACAGGAGGGTTGTCATTGATGTCAGCTACAGTTAAGTGGACAGTTTTAGAGGAGGACAGAGGGGGAGAGCCCTCGTCAGTGGCACTGATTGTAATGTTGTAATCAGACACTAGCTCACGGTCCAGCTGTTCTGTGGTCACTAGAGAATAATAGTTTTTAATGGAAGGTACTAACTTGAAAGGGACCCCAGTCTGAAGGGAGCAGCGGACCTGTCTGTTGTTCTCTGAGTCTCTGTCCTGTACATTAATGATGCCCACCTCTGTACCAGGAGACACATTCTCAGGGATCTGATTGGACAGTGATTTTAAGTTAATGACTGGAGCATTGTCATTTACATCAGTGATATCGATTATTAAAGTTGCATATGACACCAGCCCTAAACCATCTTTAGCACTGATCTGAATTTCATAAGCCGACATCTTTTCATAGTCAATTATTTGTTTTACTGTCACCTGTCCATTTTTAGAGTTAATAGAGAATGCATTACTACTATCGTCATCAGTGACATGATTAAACTGATAGGTGATGTCACTATTCAGACCCTCGTCCGCATCAGTAGCAGTGACTGTAATAACCAGTGTATCTGGAGGAGAGTTTTCTGGAAGACTCGCTTTATACACAGTCTGACTAAACACTGGCGCATTATCATTAGCGTCAAGAACAGTGACATGGATGACTACTGTGCCTGATCTCTGAGGAGAGCCGCCATCAAACGCAGTCAACACAAGTGTGATCTCGTTATTACTCTCTCTGTCTAATTCTTTATCCAACACCAACTCACAATATTTTCGTCCCGCAGAGTTTGAATTCGTATTGAGTTTGAAATTATCATTTGGCTGAAGGGTGTAACCCTGAACAGTGTTTTCTCCAATGTCTCCGTCATGTGCCTCACCAACGACAAACCTAGCGCCCTTATCAGCAGATTCTTGAATTTCAAATTTAAGTGGATCTTCTATGAATTGTGGTGCGTTGTCGTTTATGTCCTGTACGCGGATATTAAAGCGATGCAGCTCCAAAGGGTTTTCCAGCACGAGCTCCTGTTTCAGAATACATGAAGTCTTCTTCGCACAAAGGCCCTCTCTGTCAATCCTCTCCTGAACAACCAGCTCTCCCGTGTTCAGGTTCACGCTGCAGTACTGGACTCCGTTGTCCTCGGAGTCCACGCGCGCCCTGCGAGCGGACAACCTGCCCAAATCCAGTCCAATATCCTTCGCGATATTTCCGATCACGGATCCACGTTTCATTTCCTCTGGAACAGAATAACTGATGTCTCCACGGCAAAGATGAAACGTGAAAAATACGAGTGGTAAAGCAAACAAAGATCCTCCTCCGTTTGTAAGCATTATTAATCTGGAGGTATATTTTAAAAGCTGTTGTAGGGTTGGTTTTTGTTTTGGTTGAATATGTGCTGGCGCAGGTATTACTGAAACGAAGAGTCGAAACCACACAGTAATCTAAAAATGTGCGGCCTCTTTTCAACATCAGATAAAGAAGGGAGGAGAATAGACAAGTTGCGCTGTTCACTGGTAAATACTGACATCAAGAGTGTGGTTTGAGGAACTACCACT